GCACACACACACACACACACACACACACACACACACACACACACACGCACACACACTGTGACTTCACTTTAATAGTGTGTGTGTGTGTGTGTGGAGGGGGACTCTGGTGTGGGGTACGAGATGGAGGAAGTGTAGGGGAAGTAACTGTAAAAATGGTCATTTGAATAATATACAATTGTGAATACATGTAATATAATTTTAATTCCCTTCAATTCGTGCTGATAGACGGCAAGAAAAACGGGATAACGGAGACCCAACCAGTTCTTATTGCTCCTAACTTGACACAAAGCAGGATTTTCTATTTCTGCCACCGGAATGGTATGCCTAACTAGAAATAGATTTTTACAGTCCAGAAAAATACGAACAGCTTCAGTGAATGCCCAAACTAATGAGCCTGTATTGTTTCATTTTTATTATTCTTATAGGCCTATTAAGGTTTCTGATTGCTCAATGTCCTCCACTTGAATTGATTTTACAGGTGCTAGTATGATTGATATATTATCATTTTTGTATGTTCAAAGTTACACAATAATGATATGTTTTTAATTACGAACAGTGCAAGTTATGCGCACATGCAAATTATTCTTATTTCTGTGTACTCAAGATGACTCATTCCTCTGTCAACAGCTGGGAACATGTGTTTTCATGGATCCTGTTCTTACTACTGTGACTCATCTCATCCCATCTGTGGTCATCCGTGGATGTTGGAAGGATCTCTGGCAGCATTCCTGCCACCTTTTACAATGGCGAAAAGAAAGACATGGAGGAATCCTTGGAAACGATCTTATAGCAAACACAGAAAGGTACTTGGGCGTCAATAATGTATTCTTGCTTCCTCAACAGTAATTTATGAAAGAACAGCAGCTATGTTTGTCATTTCTTTTTATAGGAATTTAGCCCTTTTCTTAAGCTTAATAGGTCATTAGACATGCAACACAGACAGAAACATTTACAGTAAGCCCAAATGTTTGGGAGTTGTTACCCTAAACTTACTGTGGAAAGTACTATAATAGTCCTTATTGGCAGATGATGATATTTGGGTTCTTTAAAATATTATCATCCTACAATATTTACTATGTGTAAAATAATGTGAGTAACTTGACCTTGCATATGTAATTAAAAATTTTCTTCTTAATAATAAAATCTCTGATGTGTTTTATTGTAAATGACAGTACACATCAAACTGAGTTGCGGTTAAAATGTTGAAATGTCACGCTTTGAAACCATGGACGTTTTTCATATCCTGGTTAATTTTGTTCTCTATTCCAGGCATACTGGGAAGTGTATAATGACCTTTGTGAAAAAGTTAAATTGAAGCACCCATACAGTGAGGGTCGACGTCTCCTAGATGTCTTAGACATGTCTGTATTTGATTTCCTCACGGGTAAGTAAAATACACAATATTTTGTTCAAATTTCAAAGTCTTTATATAATGGCACTTTTGTCATTCTTTCTTGTCTCACTCTCTCGTGTTGATATATATTTAGCAAAATTTTAATATTTTTTTACAACCTTATGTATAACTGAGTAATCATCCTATGAACATTTATTTCAAGAAATAAGAAAAATATAATAGTTATAGTTTATGCCCCCTGTTACAGATAGTTGTTCAAGACACTACTTCTTGATAAACAAGTCTCAAAAGTCAAAAGCCTGTAGGGTGTCTCCAATCTCCAGCTGCTACTTGGTTTGTGAACTTATTTTGATGAAGTCTCTCACAGCGTGTTGTTGAAAGTCTGTAAAATAACAAGTTTGATATTATGAGTTACGTTATTTTGTACACCATGCACCATAGAAATAATCTATACTTATACAGATAATACTGCTCTATTGGCCACCTATCTAAAACAATCATCTTTTTACATATGATTTTACATACTTCCAGCTTCCCCCTTGTGCTTTTCCTGCATTATAATGGCAATGTCCAAGATGGCCACCATTTAAGACAACCACTTTTCTCTTCAACGATGAGTGACCATCTTAGACAATTTTATCTGTAATTTTCTTGTTTGCTTTCTGCCCTTGATGATATTATATCTGGTTATCTTTTACAGGAAATTTGGACAGACATCATTATGAAACATTCCGAGAATTTGGCAATGATACATTTTTGCTGCATCTGGACAATGGTCGAGCGTAAGTTTATGGAGCATTCTTCTGCACTTTTTATTTATCGTTTGCAGTAAGTTAATTGCTATCATAGTTTTTTTCTGTAAGAATACACCATCACACATTGTGGAGGCATATGTTCGATGTGCAGAAAAGTAATGGTTGTGTACGCGGAGACTTTTGCTCAAGCACTTAGCATTTTGATTGCTTTTGTTTATTCTGCTATTATTAATTGGTCGCAGTGTATGGATTAATTCCTACCGGACTCGATCATGAAAGTGAACATTTCTCACCAACATTGACTGTGATCATCAGACTCTTGCTAAGGTCATTTTTCTTGTGTCTAAAGCTGAAGACTTTCACAGATGATGAACACTGTTTAACCTAACTTCAGACCCAATTGTATATTAGATGATGTGGTAACGCAATTATGGTGATAAAAATATTTATTTCCACACAGATTTGGCAAGTCTAAGTATGACTGCATCTCATGCTTGGCCCCGGTACGCCAGTGCTGCATGATTCGGCTGTCCACACTGACCAAGCTGGTCAAGCTCTACCAGGGTCCACAAAGTCTGAGCTCTATCTTGAGAGAATCCATGGCAGCTGATCCAATCAATCCCATTCTGATGGAGCCTCACCTGGACGCTTTAGACCGCAGACTCAGCAAAATCCTTCATGTCATCAGCGGCTGCATCAAGGATGGCAGAGCTTGGGGAGATGTGGTTATTGATGATGGTGTTACGTGATTGTAAACATTGTCCATATATTTTCTTTGACAGGAGAATTTGTTTTGCCTATTGTCACTGTGTTATTGTTGTTGATCATCTGACCATCTATTGATTTTACTTGGGGAATTAGTTTTACCTGTTGCAATTGAGTTATAGTTAATGTTTTTGTTTTGAATGCTTTTTGTAGCTACTTGGTTTTTAACCCTTCTGTTGCATACTTTGTAGTAGGAGAATTTTGTCTGCTCTTTCAGCTTTGTTGAAGAAAGTGTTATGCCGGTTGTGCATAGTTATTCAGCTGGAAGTACAGTCATAGAGAAGACTACCCATTGTTGAGGTAAAATGTGGTCATTCTAGACAGTGTTATTATAAAATCGAAAAAGTTAGGAAGTATGAGGTGGTTATTTAGTCAGGTGATTGTCTTAGAAGGTGTCATTAGAGCAGGTTCGACTGTAGTTAAATGCTTTACTCTAAAATTGGCAAACTGTTAGCAAGGTGAAAGCTACTTTTTAATAGATAACTTGTACCTGGGTATTGTATGGATTAACCACCTATTTCAACACTACCAGTCACACAATATTCGCGAGGTGGAACTCCAAACTTAATATCCATTTTCAAAAGGACTAAACGGAGTAAGGGAAGAGCCTTGAAAACTCCCCAAATATACCAAGTTTAGGAACTCCCTGTTGGTGATTTGAACGAGGGTCATCAGTACCATAGCCTATCATGATGACAGCTGAGATAATAGTTTGCTCTAAGACAACTTGACTGTAGGAAACATGTGACCAGCACTCTTTCTCTGCCCTGCTCTGATGTACCAATACCTTTTTGAGAACCATAAAAATCACATGGCATAAAATGAGGAAGGGAACTTTTTATCATGACCTGGGGATTTTGCACATTTTTATACATTTTATAAAATCTCTATCTAGTTTACAAAATATGCACAGTAAAACAATAGAAAAAAACCCCTCATGATTCATTAGGTTTACATAGTTCTTGAAGGTTGAAATCCATCCCTTCCTACTGCCATTGGATGAATGGGTAGGGGACAACATGACAGGTCATACTTTCTTATTATCCTTCTGTTGTTTCTGTCTGTCTTTCTTTTTCCCAGCAGTATGTGACTATAATTGTCTCAATATGCTTCTCTTTTGCTCCTTCAGACAAAGCATTTGTGTAGAGAGTTGTGATTGTGTCTTTTGTTTCTCGTTTAGCTAACAAGTAGTGTTTTTCCACTCTGTTCAAACATCATAGACATTTGTGAAGCAGGCTGACAAAATGAGTTACTTCTCGCAATTTACAAATAGGGATATGGGCTAAAAATCAACACTAGGGTCAAATTTGTAGATTCTCCTATGTATTTCCATAGAGCTCGAATTCGAGAAGTAACTCACTTTGTCAGCATGCTTCACATTTGTCTTTCTAACTCTTTTAGCTTATCTATTGAGTTGTGTTTGTGAGAATCATGCAGGCATATTTCTCTGTGGAATGAGGAAGATGATTTGTTATTGTGCACATACAGATGGAGGGTGGGAGGTTCCAAATGTTCCTGGACTTCAAAGCATGTTTCTAACAAATTCACAGCATATGATGCAAGGAAATGTTCTTTCACATGCTATGAGAAAATGTTGGTTGTGATTACTGAATGGCTTCTCATTAACTTGGCAAAATTATTGAAAATTGATTACTGAAATTGTGTACAGTTTCATATGTCCCCATAGAGCTTATATAAACAATTGGACCAAATTGAAGAATGTGCTTCATGTAACTCATCTACTTATTGAATGAGAATGCTGAATGATGCTTCGACTGTGATTCATCTAATTCCACGGCTGAAGTCCGGAGACCACATTAATTCATTCCTTTTATCAAGTCTGCATGTGGATATGGCATAACTCATTACATATAATATGTATATTCATAAAGTAAAATGCATAAAGATGTAGGCTTTTTTCTGTAACAATTCATTGAACCACATTAGCTATAACTGTTTATATCTGATAGTGAGTACTAACAAAGGCATTGTGACTAGATTAAAGAAACTCTACTATAGACATACTCAGGCAGACTGACAGACAGACATTTAGGGTAAACAGACTCACAGACAGTGTGAAGAAAGGCAGACTGGCATAAAGCTTACAGAACCAATTGACTGATGGTGTCAATAAATATGAAGATTTTATTATGATAGGGCCTATAGATAAACCCTCGTAGGTAAACTTCAGTTTGTTGATAGAGATGAAAAATATTAGCAAATAATTACTCAGGCCTAGTGTTTGGAAAAAAAGCAAACTATCTTTTAAAGTAAAAGATCATCAAACAATAATTTTTATCATGGTCAGCACTAAATGCAATAATCCAGAATTACAAAAAAATTACATGTGCTGTGTTTTTTAGATCATATTTCCTAATATTAGTAAACTGAAAGGGAGTAACCATGGTATTGAATGAATGACAACCAATTAATTCTTTATCTCCGAGGGGGGGTTAACCCACTATGCCGGGGCCCTTTTTTGGTACCAAACCTAGAAATGACAAAAACGTCACTAAATTGGTCATTAAATAAAACCTAGTGAACCTATATTGATAAGTCTTCATCTAATGAATGAATTCCCGATAAAAGAGACTGTTTTCTGCTGTTGCCAAAAAATAATTTGATGTCGATATCGTTGTAAAGGTATACGCCCGAGCCAATGTCAGCAGCTCACTGGCACAGCGGTTTCGAGTGTGAGCTGCTGGGGGCGACTTGTTGGAGATAAAGAGTTAATTGAGTGTTGAGTGCATGGAGTTGTATAAAAGTGATGAATGAGTAGAAGGAATCCATTTTTTAATTCCTGATCTTTGAGCAATCTTATTCTCCATTTTTGACCAAAGAAGAATAAATGCGAAGTGACATGTAATTGTTTCTATAGTGAGGCATTTTGTAACATAAAGTTATGGATTTATTTTAGCACTGCTCTGAATGAAATGGCCTGTTCATAGTTGCCATCAAAGTGTTGTTGTTGGTGTTATTGTTGTTGTTGTTGTTGTTTCTAACATGAACTGCTGACCATTTTCAATTCCACTATATATACATCAATCATTATTTAATACCTTCACACATTCCGTGCAAATTTTATTTTTGTGTCCCAACTGATGAGTATTTTTGACATCATTAACTAATCATTGATTACTGTTTCTATTATTGAGTGTTGTTATTGAGAAATTGTTATTGCATTTCTACTCCCTTTGTCTGGCTGATTGTGGATTTTATTATGTCTAATGTAAAGCACGTGGATGATTTAACATGCTGAAGACTGGAAAATATATCAAAATATATATTGCAAAAATATTTGTATTGTTTTGTTAAGTGTAGTTTATGAACTTGTACACATTGACAGATTTATTGAATTTCACTCACATACAAACATATGATATAATGGACAGCTGATACTTTAGGTGAGTAAAGACTATGAAGTTATACTATTTTTCAACAAATGCACAAACAAAATCGAAAGACATGTGATTGATTGCTTGACATTCTGTTCTTAATTCTTTTTCCAAGGTACTGTTAAAATTATTGTGACCTTAGGCCTATCTATTTTTTAAAACTTTACTTGCCCACTATACTTCTTGCAGTAACCCTACGTTATGCTTTCATTTTCACCCCTCCCTTCTTTTTTCTCCTCACCTGAGGCTTAATGTGAGGCTTCAGTCCAAGCCCAATTGTTGGCATATATGATTGGTTGTTGTGTTTCTCATTGTGACACTTTTGTTAAACCTATTGTATTTTCAATTTGTTAAAGTGTCATCCTATAGGACTATCATTTCACAAGTAAAACAGTTCAAGACATTAAAGAATTGTCTTTTGTTATTAAATTCTTGAATTGTCTGTAACAGGAACAGAAGTCTGTTAGGTAATGGGGAGACCCTTCTCATTTTACCGAAAGGTCAACTGTTCAACTTCCTTTATGTGCACAGATTGGTTCTAAATTGAGGCCTACAATGTGTTGAGCGAGTGGAACATAATAGGTAATATTAGAAATCATTTTGAATGGAAAATGGAAAAAGCTGAAACCATACAATATACATCTTGAAATAACGTTGAACTGGGATGTATTTCATTGCTTTGGCATATCCCTCAAATGACAGCTATAAAGCATACACCGCTTTCTTTGGATGTACCTCAAACATTGCTCTTGATACAAATCAAATTTTTTTGTTTAAGTTGATCAAAGCATTGGTTTACAGGAGAATCTGTTGAAATATGCTTACATTCTACACTGAATGTTCATTCTGATGGTTATTTCAAAATGAATGAAGGCAAATGAACATACTTGTCAAAAAAACCAAAAACAACCCAGGATCATCCACAATAACAGTAGGACAGTAGTTTACTGCTTTAAAAAAAATAAGATTTGGAAATGCAATGAACCTTCCAACCTTGCTAAAGTGTAGAGATGAGAACAGCTACCATGTCAGTCTGTAGATTGAAAGATTATTATTTTAGTTTACTTTTGTCAAGTAAGTAGCAGGATTTTAATGAAATAAGGATATCGTTCTGTTGCAACACCCTTTCTACCACTGTTAAAGTTATAGACCTAAATGCAAACATGTGAACTGTTTGCACATTTACACTGCATTCCCATTCAACTATCTCTTGTAAAATTATACTTCAATCTTTTTGAATTTTGACAGACCATGCTTCAGTTATTTACTGCAAGTCTCAAAACAGATTGAAACTCCTTTGAAGCGAGAGGAAGGGGAATAAGGGGGCTAGCCATCTCTGCCTTCAACTTGTTGTGACATCTATAGCAATTTGTTTTGGGTTCTTTAAAGCTTTGTTCTATGAGAGCACAATGCACACACTGAATTGTTTAATAATATTGTTCTTAAACACATTTTGTGCCAATTCATGTGTTAATTGTTTCTTTAAGCAAAGCATTTGTTTTATTCTGTCCTTTGTAGTTCTCTTTGGTCAAGAGTCCCAATCAACGGTTTTACTGTGCGTCTGATTTTAAACAGAAGAAGCCAATAAAAGACATCATGCTCTTTTTTTATAGCCTTATAGCCTATTGCACACAACTGAATATTGGATGGTTGAATATGTCAGAAACTTACTTTCGTGGCCTAAACTTAAAACACAATTTTCAGAGAATGTTTCCTCGAATCTTGAGAAGTAAACTTGAGTAGGCGTATTGGTGGCCTATCTCGAAGATATTAACCTCCAAAGTCTGTATCACAGAAGCTGATGAACATCTTCAGAATACATGTTTTTACATTATTCAACTACTAAGAAGGCATTTTGGCTTTTTTTTAGCAGATTATTTTTTTCTGCTGTGGTCACTGTTTCTGTATAGGCCTACTGTTTGATCTCTGCAAGAGGGTATTTTTAAGATCTCTGGACCTTCAGGATGCAACATTGAGCAGATTGTATACTTTAATTGTAGTTTTCCTTAATTCGCAATGGAAATCTGCACAGTGTGGCATGATTTCAGATGTACATCACTGCAATTGTACATAAAATAATGCTTATTTTGTACAAACTTTTGAGTGACAGAGTATTGACTTATTCAGCAATGTAGCATTGAGCTTACTGTCGTCTTTCACTATCATAAACAATAGCCAGTGCCTGTTCTTTTTATATTTTTATCTGCATAATGTTTTTATGGCGCAATCACTTGATATTGATGTATGAATCTACGCAAATAAAAAGGGACCACAGTTGTCAAACTTACAGGTAGGCCTACAAAAGAGATATACACTGAACTTGAATTAAATGGCTCAGGCTGCTTTGTAAAACTTCGTACACAATGAGTCCTTCCTCAGAAGTTATATGAAACTTTGGTTTGGGACCATGGTTTTCAGCTCACTGTATCTGTCCAAAAATGTTATGCAAATAATTTTTAAACTAATGCCCATTTTGGACTTTTTCTGAAAACTGCCAGGTGTTTTAAAATACTTTTTGTGTAACAAAGCACAAATAATATCTTTCTAAAGTGTTTTTTAATGTTGTTTTTGGGGGGGATTTTTTTGCAGCGGAGGAGATTACTGTGACCTTCTGACTTTATCTGTTTCGCATATTATTCACCCATGTGTAGTATAGATTTTGAGGTCTTTTTCTTTGGCTTTTGAAGGACTGATGTTTCAAATTTCTTGAGCTTCCACTTAATCCAAGTTATTAATTTGTGGACATAATTTTTGTCCTAGGATATGTATTGTGTAAGTGCAACATGCAAAATCTGTTAATTATAAAGGAATTCTCGGAAGTAATCCGGCCCTTTCTCAGAAAATACTGTGAGACTGCCTTGATCTGTTACAAACAATTTCTTAACATTGTGGCGGTCAGTGTTTTAACTTTGTGGCTGTTCCTTTCCTTTGTTATATGTAGGTCTGTACTAGATAAGCGATATCGAATCATTAAAAAAATGGTTAGAACTGTTGATATACCATAGCACTCTCATGGTTTAAGAACACATGTTTTTTATAAAGTATTTTGCTGTTCTTGTAGATGACTCAATTCACATGTAGTATGCATTTATTTACAGAGTTTTCAAATTGCCTTTACTGTAGGAACTCTCCGTGTCAGCAATGTATCTGAAAACTCTGTAGGTAGATGCCTTGTTTCCAAAATTTTTTGACAAAAAAGAACTACTTTTTCCCTTCTCAAATTCTTGTTTCTACTCTTGTTTGCCTTTTTTTTAAACGCAGAAGCAACATTCTCCATTGTCCCAAGTCAAAGCTCTGTATACTCTGACATTGTAGCTTTTTCAAAATTCCTGAAAGCTGCTTCCGTAGAAACTACTATCAAAAGGTTCTCACAAAGGGAAGGTGCAAGATGGGAGATAGGACGATAGTGTGTCCTAATAGGGTCTGAGAGATATATAGAGATCACTGTTATTGCTATTTCTTGAATTTTTAGTACCTCATTATAGACAACATAGCTGTAGCAATGTAAAAAACTGCATCCAACACAAAGATGCATAATGTTTTGTCCTTGTGTAGCATCTAGCTTCTCGTTAAATTTTATCATCTCAATCTTTTAATAAAAGGCTGGCATACAAAAATATTAAAGGGAATAACAGTAGTGTCTTGTAGTGCACAGAGTACTTTGATTATGAGCTATTATCTTGTTTCTGTCTATATACCTCTTCAATGGTTTCATTTTAAAAAAAAACCCCAAAAAACAACAACATGTATGTCTACATTCTCTTTGAATTTCATATGAGCCTTTAATTATAATTGATTTTGTTCAGGTAGGTGTTGGACACTAACTAGAGAAACATATTAACAAGCTACTTCCTAGGGAATGAGGGCTGTTGGAACTATTAAAGTACAGCAAACTAGGTCATCTTTACCAAATTTGACTGTTTTGTCTATGTGTTCTGAATGAGTAAAAATATGGTATGGCTATTGATCTTTGTATCACACTGTAATTGCATTTGTGTATGTTTATCTAAAATTGCAAAAATTGCATTTTAAAAATACTGTGGATGTCTTGTTTTGCTGTGTTGTTGTTGCTGTTGTTGTTATTATCACTGTCATTATTGTTATTATTACTTTTGTTGATTATTAATATTATTGTTATTATTATTGTTATTATTATTATTATTACTATTATTTTATTATTATTATTACTGTTGTTGTTGTCGTTGTCATTTTTGTTGATGTTGTTGTTATTATTATTATTATTATTATTATTATTATTATTATTATTATTATTATTATTATTATGTGGTTTAATAGGAGACTGCTAAGAGTATCATTTAAGGAAAAGAAATCAAATGAGGTAGTGCTTGATGAAGCCCACGTGGGACGCTCAATGTTAAAAACAATCAGGAAACGACAAATGCAGTTTTTGGGACACCTGAATAGACATAGGGTCTTGAACATCTAGCTCTCACTGGAAAAATTGAGGGCAAGCGAGGCAGGGGTAGACCCAGAACAACATACTTAGGGAACGTAAACAAATGGGTAACAGGGAAAGATCAGGGAAACATAGCTTTTTTGAGAGCATCCGAGCAAAGGAATGAATGGAAATTTAAACCATGATCGCCGATGTCAGTCGCAGATCTGGCACTGGATGATGATGATAATATTATTACGACTATTGTTACTATTAAATTATTATCATTATTTTTAATAATTATTGTTACTATTGTTGTAGTCACTATTATTGTTGCTATTGTTGTTGTTATTGTTGTTGGTGGTTTGTTGTTTCTGTTCTTGTTGGTGCCGTAATTATTGCATTTCTCAATGCTAAGAATCAATCCATTTTTGCATTTGTGTTTCTTGTGCACACAAAAATCCCATTAAACAAATCTTTTTGAAAAATGGGATTGGTTTCATGTTATTATCTTTAAAAAGACGTTATTTCAAATTATGTTTCTATGTTACTTCACAGTTAAAGCTGTTGCAACACTGCTGTAATGTCGTGCTCCCTTAAAGTTACTGTGCCAAAAATTATAATTCTCTTAATTTTAGCTCGTTCTCTTCAAAAGGGCCTATTGACATACATTGACTCTCACTCTCAATAACAAAACCTTTACATGTCCCCCACTAGAACAAAAGATACTTTTATGACATAAAAAAACGAATTCCCATGAGATAACATTATAGATAACATTATATTAATATGTGAGGTTTGTTGGCAGTTCTAAAATGTCCGTTATGTGTCACCACCGACGGGGTACGTCGAATCAGTAGGCCTATCACTAAAGTTGATTCATTTGTCTTGCATTTGATGAAAAAAATATAGGCTGAATTATTGAAGGGAAACGCATTGTAGAAACGGTTTTCTGTAACAAGTTCTGCCAGCCGGCCTGGTACCACCCGTGAAAAACGTTAATGATGCATACTGGATGAGCTACAAACACTATTAATTATTATAGCTTTTATAATTTAGGCCTATGGGTCTGATTATTTTATACAGCGCTTTTTTTAACACTTGGCGTGCGCACTGAGATTCACAGCTTGGAATATTAATAATAGCAATAAAGCTGAAGTACTTGGATGAACATGCTCTCTCTCTTTCTCTCTCTCTCTCTCTCTCTCTCTCTCTCTCTCTCTCTCTCTCTCTCTCTTTCTTTCTCTCTCTCTTTCTCTCTCTCTTTCTCTCTCTCTCTGTCTCTCTCTCTCACCACCCCAACCACCACTCTCGCCTTTATACACACACGCACAACCACACGATAATATACATACTCTTGACTTTGACACACACAAACACACACACACAAACATACACACACACAAACACACACACACCACTCACTCTCACACACACACACACACACACCACTCACTCACACACACACATATACACACACACCACTCACTCACACACACACACCACTCATTCACACACACACACACACACACACACACACACACACACACACACACACACACAGGTGGGCAAACATTTAGTTTATGGATACGCCCGGATGAAAAAGGTTTGCTTTTGGCGAAATTTTAAAGCTTATTCAATTTATAATCAAAACCAGTGGACCGTTGTAATGAGACATTTACTCGCATAATTCTTTTTACGCACTATTTTGAGGTTGTTGTTGAGACCAGATTAATATTGTTGTTGTTGTTGTTGTTGTTGTTGTTGTTGTTGTTGTTGTTGTTGTTGACTTTGAAGTAGAAGAGTAGCTTTGATATCATTTAGGGCTTTGCAGTGGAACAGGTCCACAGTCAGTCTCATGCATAGTTACGCAAATGACATGTTGGTGGAAGTTCTGTTTTTTTTACTATCGAAGTGGAACAAAGTGGAAGTTGAGCTGTATACATTATGGAGCCTTTTATTCGCTGGCGGAAGATAGGGATATTTCCCTTTCTCAGCAGATAATTCATATTGTTATTTCGTTTTGTCGGAGTCCTGTTTGAAAACTGCTCTGCCTGTCTTTCCTAAAGCACAACTGCTCATCAAATCTTGTTTTTTGTTGCTTTTTACGATTTGTTTTGCTGTTTTGTATAAATGTTGGGCTGTTCCTGTCGAGATCCCCTTTTGGAAAGTATGTCTACTCGTTTCATCTCCAGGTGTGTTTGAGTGTCCAAGTATCCACTGATCACCAGGTTGACACCACAAGATGTTGCCAGGTGGTAGGAGTCAAACAGTATTATAATATGTGTCAGATCTTGGTTTAGCTGATCGTCATTTTCTACTACTTGCAAGACCGGTGAAAACCAGTAAAAATCACAATATTCTGTGTTTTGTCAAGATGAGTATCAAAAAATTGTTTGAAGATGGAACAGTTCTGTTTCAATTGTCATTGTTTCTGCATCACGGTTGCTGCATTTTTCTCCATAGGCTGCAGAAATCTCTTTTGAACTTCCATCTTGTCATGGTATTACTATAAGTGTTCCACATCCAGTTTTGGTTGTGTGGTTGTGCCTTTAAATGCTGAGTAGCCTGTATGGCATGGACGAGTATCCTGAATAGCTGTTGATTGTTTGATGTGATGGGTCTGGCGATATTGTGCTTTTGTCTCTGAGTGATGTTATAATGATTGGGGTTTTTGCGAGGATTTGTGTTTGTGTGTGTGTGGGGGGAGGGGGGGGGGTTGCTGTGATGTGGTGCATGATTGGTTTTTGCTGAAGTCGTCTTTTAGGTTTCTATGCATCTACTAATTTCCTGCTTGTGTGGTTAAGGCACATTCTTTTGGTTCTTTCACGGAACCCCAAAACGGTTTTATCTCTGCGAAGTTTAGGGATTCTACATTTGAAAAGATTTTTACATGCAGCAGTAGGGGTGGATCTCATGCCACCTTTTATGAAACGAAGGGTACCGGTATTATTCTGGACCTAGTTGAGGTTATTGTAAATGGTTGTACTGTACACAGTGAGTAGACCATTGTTGTATTCTAGGTATAAAGAAGGCATAGAGTTCTCACAGTTTGTTTATCTAATCCACAAGGACTGCTTTCAAATTTCTTAAAAAATTAGAATCTTCTTTTCATCTTAGCCTGTATTCTCTCCACATGGCTTTTCGTTTTTAGATTTGAAACAGAATAATAAAGCGGTATTTAAAAAAAAGATATTTGAATGGTCTCGAGGCACGATAGAAAGGTGTGTAGCTTAATGGGGCACGCCAAGACCCAAGAGACGATTGTGGCCGGCCACCGTAGAAAAGGTAGGGAACTTACCATGTATTTCCCTAAGAAATGTTATGACCTAAGAAATTAAAAGAAAGTGTCATGCAGATGCCCCAGGGCCTGCTGCCGGGTCGACGCCTGTTGTAAAAACAAAGAGGGAAGATACAAGCACGGATGAGCGCTAATGATGACGACAGCAATAACATTTTCTCGGGAGGGCTGCAGTGTGACGGTAGCCTTCCAAAGTATAGAAGGAATAAACATTTAAAAATTGGAACATTGAAAGTGAGAACCATCTGCAAACTAGGGAATTGAGACAACCTAATAAAAGAAGCAAGTGAGCTGGACACAGATATTTTAGTTATATCAGAAACTCGTTGGACTGATGATGGTGTAATAAAGAAAAATGGCTATATCTTCATACATTCTGGTGGTGATCAACATCTACACGGGGTAGGGATATTACTAAAAGAAAAGCCCGAGAATGGGATATTGGCCAGTAAGTGAAAGAAACATCCAACTTAAAATGCGATCACAGTTTAACATCGCAACACTCCAGACATATGCCCCAACCTCTACATACGAAGGTGAAAAGATTGAAGAATATTATGGAGAAATAGATAAGATCCTTTTAAAGAAGTAAAATTGAACGAAGTACTTGGCATAATGGGAGACCTGAACGCCAAAGTTGGAAAGGGACTATATCAAGATATCACTGGCAACTATGGGTTAGGAGAACGTAACAAAAGAGGAGATAGACTCTTATTTTTTTGTGAGGAGAACAATCTAGTGATAGCAAACACCTATTTTCAACAACTAGCAGGTAGACTACACGGAAAAGACCTGGAGATATAGACAGACACCGACTGGATTACATCATGTAAGAAAAAGATTCAAAAACAGTATTAAACAATGTAAAACATACCCAGTAGATGACACAAACTCCAACCGCAACCCCCTCATTGCAAAATTGCCATAAAGCTGAAGAATTTAAAGAGAAGGGCTAATATGAAAACCAAAATGCACATTGACGGGGGAAAATTGAAAACAAAAGAAGAAAGAATGGTGTA